TGCAGAAGAGCAATAATGTCAGTCAGGAGACCAAGGTTTATCTGATCCAGGCTACGGTTTTTGCAATTACTTGCTATGCATAAAAGCTAGAGAATGAGTAAGGATGATGGAAGATCGATGAGTTGTGGTGCTGGAGAAGAGTGTTGAACTTTCCTTGGACTGCAAAGAGAACAAATAGGTTTGGCCTGGAGAGGATGAAGCAAAGTTGCTCCTTAGGGGTGAGGATTTAGTAGCTCTCTCTCACATACTTTGTACATGTTACCACGAGAGACCCATCCTTGGAGAAGGACATCATGATTGGAAGGATGGAGGGACAGAACAAGAGGGGACGACCCCAGAGGAGATGGATTGACACAGTAACTGGGATTATGAGGGATAGGGGTGTTGGAGTCAGTGAGACTGGTTCAGGATAGGGCAACTTTCAGAGCTATTGTACAAAGGGTAGCTATGAGTCACAGGAGACTCAACGGCACGTAACAACGATTTTGTATTACATCTTTTCCTGTGATGTCAGTTACCTATAAATGACTCAGCAGAAAGGTCTTTCATGCAAAAAAATCAGTCACAGCAAACTGGTTGAAGTATAATTTGACTCTGGCAAAAAATGTCCAGAAGTCCGAATTGGCTGTTGGCTTGGTTTTATTGTAGTATAATTTACATACTCTAAAATTCACCCTCTAGAGATTTCTAAATTATTTATGTTTAAAACTAAGTCACTTTAAAAAGCTCTATTACGCTAAAGAAAATTAATACATGTATTTGTGTATATAATAGTAATAATCTTTCCTTAGTAGGTTTTAAACTACTGATAAACAAAAAAATGATGAATTTTAGAAAGAGCTCTATTTCAAAAATATTATAAAATTTATTTTTATAATTTTAAAGGTACTTTCTGTACATTTTATAGTGCATAAATAAAGGTTTTTAATTATATATATTTATATATTGGATATGCATGCTAAACACTTTTTGTTTCTTTTTCCCCCTTTTTAATAAATTTTAATGAACATTTACAGACACTTTTGGATTTCCCTTCATTCATTATTGCATTTTTTTCTCCCTGCCCACCCCCTCCTCCCTGATTTGCTCTTCTTTTTGAAAAGCAGAGGAAAAATTCTTTAATTTTTATACAACCCCTTCCCCCAAGTGCATTCCCCTGTGCGGCCTTCATTCTGGATTCCTCTCAGGACAATAATAACTAATCATATATCCCTTTTAAACAGTTCTCTCCCTCATCTGTTCCAATGTAGTATACATTATTTGTCCCCTCCATGCTAAACATTTTTACTGATAAGATGTAGAACTCAGGAAGGTAGATTGGGAACAAACATCTTCCTTGTGGAATTAACAAATAATTATGATGTGTTTGTGGTCCAACTAGCACAGTGCTTGATGAGCAGTAGTATTTCAAACTGAGTGGACTCACTGGCCCCCTTTGAATGAAAGAGTAACCATTTAATGTATCTCATTGTTGAAAAGATATATATTGAAGTATTTAGAAAAAGTGAAAAATCTTAGAAAAGGGTGAAGAATTTTTCTGCATGAATATATTTGTTTCGATAAGCGTTCAATGCTGATGCAGTTCCCACGGACGTAGTAGTGCATAATAGTTGTGAATACAGCATCTGAATTTAAATCTAAATCTTTATGGCATCAAATCTTTCTATGTGATAACACTGAAAAAGTTATAAATTTCACCATATCTCAGTTTCATTATATGAAAACTGGGAAAACAACTTTATGTACCTCGTAAGTTTGTGACACATGTTAAATAAGTTAACATGGGCAAAATTCCTAGACTGTATCTCACATATGGAAAATGGTCACAAACACAAACTCATGCTCACACACACATGCAAAAACATGATCTCTATGAGCACATCAAGATGTTTATATTTCTACATAAGCATATCTGATTCTCATATATATTTATGCTGATAATAACAGTAAAATCACTAACAATATTAATAGACCACTCTTGGTAAGCTTCTGTTGTTGGCATTAGTTCAAGCACTTTACACAGAGTATATTTTGTTCTGCCTTGGGGATAAATATGTGGCATCACATAACATGTTTCTGTTTTTCTCATTTTATATAGCAGAAAAATGAGAGCTAGAAAGGATAAACACCTCATTTAAGTTCATAAGCTTGTCTATGATAGTCAGAAGTCTGACTTTTTTAAACACTGCTTTCTTACTTCCTAACTGTATCTAATATTATTTCTGACCTCCATAATACCTTAATTTGTATGGTGTTAAATATTTTATAAAATACTTTCATATACACTGTGTATATGCATATGATGTATACAGTCATATACATTAACAAGCCCATGAATAAATGAGAAGGATATGATTATTTCATAGGAGAGAAAACTGGTAGAGCGCAAAGCATGAGTGTCTTTGTGGATGAGTGTCTCTTTGTATGTTACACATGCTAGGTACCTCTGTGTACAGACAGTCATTCACATAAATGTGCCAAGGGCTTATAATGTATAAAGCACAGGCATATCTTGGTAAGACAGTTAGGACTGAGACTACATACTGTAGACCTTTCCTGGAAGCATCACAGTCCTGTGGGAAAGATAGGTATGGAAACCAAGAACCCTAGTATACAATACAGTCTCTAGGGTAGAGATGAAAAAGAGTGCTTATGGAGCACAGAAGGAGGGACCATCTGTCCCAGGGAGATTTTGGAAAAGGCTCTGTTGGGGGTGGGGTTCCTGGAAGAAAGTATGGCATGTGTGAGTCCATGTTTGTGACCATGACCATGTGTTTAGGCGTGGTTATGTATGGGTCTGAGAATTTATTTTATACAAACTTACCCTTGTATTAACTTATGCATATTTCAGACTTTAAGTGTGGAATGAGTAAATCTGAACAAAAGTAAGATATAACTGAATCCATACACCATCACAGCATCTGATCCACCCTGATATGTATTTATGCATGTACACACACACACACACACACAGACCCCTCCTTCCCCACTGAGGCAACTACAGATACCAGTTTCTTTCCTTAGCAGTAGTCTCCTGAACTATGGTGAAGAGATGCACAAGGTTTTTCAATTTGTCAATTTGAGTATGTATTGGTCTATGAGATAACTGGCTTGTGTGAGTGCTGGGTGATGAAGAGATATAGGTAGGTATCTACATCTACAAGCACACTCCTGGTGTGTGCTGGGCTTAATGTTCACTTCTCCATCCTTTCACTACCTTGGGGAGTTCATACATTTATCTGTTTCCATTACCACCTGTGTGTGTCTGGCTGCTTCCACTTAAATATCATGAGGACATTTAAAAATGTACCTGTGTGCTGGACAAGACTGGAAAGTGTTGGTGTCCTTATTCTATGGAGACACTCTCTACTTTTTCCACTTCTACCTCATTCTGTTCCAGGAATCTCCCAGAGAAAAAAACTGTTTACAAAACCAAACAATATCTGTGCCTGCCACTAGGAACCCAGAGTCACTCCTGGGGTGGGCTGATCGACCGCATTAACAAGATCTGATTTTAGGGCAAATTTGATAAAGGAGGGAAATTAAGGATTCTCCTCTCCACAAATATCCTCCAGGAATTGGTGATGTAAGGAGTAAGGCTACAAACTCTTTTATTTTTAAGTTTGTCCAATCAAAAAGCTAAAATAATTGCAATAAACATGTAATTGATAATGACTAATAAAGTCTCAAAAAGTTAAAGAAATAATTGAACTGGATTTCTCCTTTTGTTTTTAAGGGATATAAATCCAGAACCACTGGGTTGTGTAAGGCAGACTGGAAAATGCTGGTGATTTGTGTATGTTTACATCTCAGCCCAGTGCATGGCTGCGCAGCTGGATGTATTCGCATATTAAAAGAGGCAAGAATGAAGCCCGTAATCAACACATGTAGTGTGCCATATTTTAACTTGAATGAATGAGTGGGTGAAGAGAAAAGCAAACACTCAGAAAAGTAGACCGATCTCACATAGAGGTTCCTGAAATTATAATGCCTTGATTCTGTTTCCAGTTCTATCAATGACTTAATCTGTTAGAAGATTTTTGTGATCTGCTTATGGTAAATAAATTTAACAGTGGAATATCTCACCAAAATATGAACTTGCTTAATCAAGCCTCAAGTGTATTTTAAAATGTTTAAATGATAACTAATAAATGTTAGCTGCTGTATATCTGAATATTTTATATTGTACCTTGTATAGTACATATTTTTATGTTTTAATACAAATATTTTCCTAAACATTAAAGGAAGATACGGATTTTGTGATAAGCCAGGGACATTTTTCCACAGTCAATATGGTGTTTATTTGCACTTAAATACTGCATCAGTAATCTGAAAAAGAGAAAATAGTCTAATTATGGCTAGAGACTGTTTAGAGGCGAAGGTTTCTATCATGGACTGCTTTCAACTGTTATATTTCATGGCACAGATTCAGTGGGAATCTGATCTGCTAAAATATTTGGGCTGTGAAAACTCCCACACTGTGACAGATGTCAAGTCCAATTAAGTGACTCATGTCCAGGTTTCTGTCCAATAGGATTTCCCATTAAATATCAATTTAGGGAAGAAAATTCCATCCCCCTTCTTAAGCCTTTATCTCTTCCACCATCTCTAGGCGGAATCAATTGGTACCAGGAGAGCCAAGGAGCCACACACGCATCTCTGCTTCTTTGCTCTGGCTCTCCCACCCTCTCCCGTCTTTCTCAGCGTCCCTGTCACTGTTACTCCGGGAGACCTTCACTTTCCATCTACCATTCTCCAAGCATCTCCAAGCCACTGGCTATATATTTTGCTACAAGGTAAAGAAAGGAAGGGATTGGGGGCGGGGGATGTAGCCAAGGTTCGAAAGACTTTGAAACTGGAAAATAGGTGTCTGTTTATACAACACACAAGTAATTGAGGGGAAAGAAAAAGGCAACCTTAGACCTGAGTTACAGTATTGTTTTCCTGGGAAGTGGGGAGACATCAGCTGAACAAAGCCTTATCTTAAAAAAAAAAAAATCACTTCTGAGCAAGATCTCATCTCCGCTCAGCACTTCCCAGTTCCTCTCAGCGTTATTAAGGGAAGGAAAGGAATCCAACAGGAGCCGAATCTTATCTGTACCATCTTTCTTATTGATTCTTCCGCTTGTAGAAAGTGGAGGCATCAGCCCTTTGATGTGATGGTGTTTATCTCTGCATCTCTTTTGTTATTTGTAGAGACTCAGAAGAGGAAAAAAGGCACGAGACTTGCCAAAACACCGCTTTTTTTAAAAATCAACAACGAATTTCTCAAAATGTTCGAAAACCATTAAAAGGAAAAAGGCATTTTTTTAATCTATCAACTAAGTGAATAATCACGCATACTATCCACCTCCAGAGATACTAGCATCCCTCGCTTTGGACCGAGAGCGATGACAGCTGCTTTTTCATTGTTGAATGTAATAAATATTTGTTGCTTTTAATATTTCCCGGAATTTCTCCCCTGATATTCCTTGGGATTTTAACTCTAAAAGATTGGAGAAAAGATTATCAAAAAGGCTTGTACAAGGTAAGGCTCTTTTTGTTTTCTTTTGAGCGTGAAACTAAGTTAGATTGTTCATATTGCATTAATAGACGCATTTCAGTGTCTTCTTTAAAATGCATACATGACATGCTACTTTATTAATATTTTAGCAAGCTGTATGGAGGAGAATTTAACATGCTTCTGAGGGGCAAGCCAGGAACTTTTCATCTGAGCTACAGCTAGCTGTGTCAAGGCTCATTGTGATTTTTTCCATTACCCACATATTTGTTTATGCGCTTTCAAGTCGAACGTGAAGGTGCGAGTTGTTCTACTTATAAATGCATCCGTGAAAAGCCCGTAGGGAGTCACACACAGTTCACTTGGAGCATTTGTTTTTATTTTTCCATAGAGAACCAATGCTGTTTGGGGAGCCAGGTTCACTCTCCAAAGCTAGGATAGGAAGAGATCACACACCCACTTGCTTTTGTTTCTCTAGGAGCAAATCCTCCACGTTGTGGGCGCAATTTCCCCCTCAACAAGCATACCTCGGAGACACACACTAGGGTCGGGGTTCGCAGCCTAGTCCTGACATCTGAGGGTCCGGGCTCACATATGCCTTTCCCCCTCCTGCCCGGCCCTTTCTAGAAGCTCAGATGCCCCCCAAGACCAGAGATTCTGAGTGAGTTCCCCCCAGAGGCGCGCGGCCAAGGTCCATTCTCCTTGCTCCAAGAATGAACCCGGAGAGGTGGCTTTTCCAAGAGGACACCGTTAGAGGAAAGCTAAGGGCAAGCTGTCTGCCACCTCGGCCTGGGGCTGCTCTGGGCTCTGAGCTTTGCCGGAAGGGAGGAAGTAGCTCGGCCCTGGGCAGCCGGTGGAGCCCACCTGCGCGCGCCCGGGACCCTGCCCGTCCCTCCTCGGCCTTTCCTCCCGGCGACCTGGCTGCTGGCATTTTCCCGTGAGGTGGCCTGCCCATCGCCGGACGCATTGTTTGCTCCCCCGCCGCCGCGTCTCTGGGTCCCCAATGTGTGTGACTGTCTGCATGACAGATGGTGCTCCAGGAGCCTGCAAGGGCACACGAGTCAATTGTCTGTTCAAAGTAACCTCCACGTTTGCTTAGTTGTTATTTATTATTATAGGCAAGGATGCTGGCCCGGGGCCGGCAGCTTGCTGTTGGGGCTGGGGGTCCTCCCAGTCGCTCTCCAGCGCGGGGCCCTTCGCCCTCCCTGCCTCGTACCGAGCTGGCAGATCCTGCCGAGCCGTCGACTTTGCCCAGGGCCCGGGGGGCGGGAAACATACTCCTGCTACGTTTCCCCGCCCTGTGAACACCCAGACGTGTTCGTCCTTGGGAATCGTTTGTGGAAGAAGAGGAAGAAGTGAGCGAGGCAGAATCATCCGCTGGTTTCTGGCCCAGGAAGGCACAAAATCCCAGTGGCAACAGTGCGCTGTCCCCGGTCTACAGGCCGGTCTCAGCCCCGCAGGCCCGAGTGCGGAGCGCAGGATGCGGCCGGTGGAGCCCGCGCCTTGGAGAGGCGCGACCCCGGCTCTCAGGCCTGCCCCTCCGGGTGCCCTCTCTGCCGGCTCGGTGGGAATTCCCTGCTGGCGGCAGAAGGCAGGGCGGGAGTGTTAGGCCCTAAGCACACTCTCCGCGGCTTCTAGACGACAAGCCGAGTCTCTTATTTATTGATCTTCTGACTCCCCCCCAGCCTCCAAAATGATGCTGAGTCCAGACCAAGCCGCCGACTCGGATCATCCCAGCTCGGCGCACTCGGATCCGGAGTCGCTGGGTGGGGCGGACGCCAAAGTGCTGGGCAGCGTGTCGGACCTGGAGCCGGTGGAGGAGGCCGAAGGCGATGGCAAGGGCGGCAGCCGGGCCGCACTCTATCCGCACCCGCAACAGCTGAGCCGCGAGGAGAAGCGCCGGCGCCGGCGCGCCACGGCCAAGTACCGCTCGGCGCACGCCACCCGCGAGCGCATCCGCGTGGAGGCCTTCAACTTGGCCTTCGCAGAGCTCCGCAAACTCCTGCCCACGCTGCCCCCGGACAAGAAGCTCTCCAAGATCGAGATCCTGCGCCTGGCCATCTGCTACATCTCCTATCTCAACCACGTCCTGGACGTGTAGGGCCCCGGGCGCCGCGGGAGGCAGCAGGGTCGGCGTCTGCGAAGCGCGAGCGCGACCGACGGGGGCGGCCCAGCGGGGAGGCCTCCGGGGGAGACTTGGCCGCGGAACGAAGCTCGCCAAATGTTCTCTCTGGTCAGCAGGGCGAGGAGGGCAGGTTTCCGACCCTGGGAGGAGGGGACGTCTGGGGAGCCTTGGGGGGTATTTTCCAGGGCCAGAGAACCTCCCGGAAGCACTCACTGGAAAGGAGCCACCTCTGGGCCGTCCTTATTTGTGTTAAGATCTCCTCCAGGGTTGTTGCTTTAGCTCACTGGAGACTCTGCGTTCTCCTACTTTAATCTTTCAAGGATCGCCCTGTTTATGAACGAAGGAGGGGTAAAACTCAGCGTACATAATAACTGTAGAGTATTTGGAATTTTTCTAAATTGACAAATCACCAAACATTCTAGAGAGGGAAGGATCTCTTCCCATATAAACATTTAAGGCACAGAAAACTGCAACAGGAAACTTTCTGTTCCGTTGCAAAGAGAAAAATATAATAAGATCCTGAATATAATAGGCAAGCCTTGAATATGTGGTGAAGATAAGAGACTAAATAGGCATGCTGTGGGAGGATTTGAGCTTGGTGAGATTTTAGCCCCAAGACATGACATTAATGTAGGCAGAAATATCCATATTTGTATGGGAAGTTTAATATCTGATTGCATTTTCAGGCAAAGTGCCCCTTTATATAATAACCCCGCCTTCTTCCCCCCCCAAACACCCCATCTATTTATGACCTTAAACACGTGAACCCATAGGTGCAGTTAGAAAAAGACAACCTATTTTTATTTATGTTAGAAGAAGTAGAGTATTTTTTTCAAGACATTTATTTTTCAGAGTGGTGATTATTTTACTTTGAATACTCTGTGCCAATTTATTTATAGTCAAGTGTTTACACTTTTTCCTGTGGAATAATTATGTCTAACTTTCTAAGTGTTTGTTGAGATTATACTGTGGTCTTTTCTTTTTTTTGCTCTAATTATATTGCACTTGTATAACGAATTTGCCACTTCTCCCTGTTTCTAAGCATATTTTATATATAAAGATGTTTGTTCTTGAAAGGTCCTTTTGTTGTGAGATCAGCAACACTAGCACTTCACTATTATAGTTTTTTTAAAAAGTAAATGTTGTTATTCTTATCTGTAGTTACGTCTGAAAAAGTACAAACTGTTTATAAGGAGAGTAGCTTCTTTGTGTGTGTGTGATGTTTGTGTGTGGGATGATTTTAGGAAATTAAATTATTTTCCTAAAAAAACAAAAAAGAAAGAATTCAGAACTACTTTCCTCTGTGACAACCAAAAAGAAAATCTATAACGTGAAAATATTTCCTGTTCTCAGCTGTGAAACTCTTAAAACAGGAGTGTATATTAGAGACAAGGGAAAAAGAAGAAGAAGAAAAAAAAACCACATCTGCTATCCAAAGATTTTAGTCTTTTTCAGGGTTTTTTTGTGTCTCTGTTGCTTTATATAATGCAATATTTTGTAGTGAAAATAGATATAATCTGGTTTCTATCTGACAAGTTTTCATATCTCATGAATGGTGCGCTGTTTTGCATATAAATAAAGGTATCGAATAAAGTCTTCTTTTTTATTTTAACTATGCTGTCTGAAAATAATGAATTTACTCATTAGAGCATGAAATGTCCGAGAGGACTCAATTTCTCAGAAAGAAACTTGGTTTTAAAAAGAATGAAAATCATAACATAATAGACTCTCTTTCTAAACTTTGACAAGGATTGGCCTATAAATAGATGTGTCATATATGATAGTGACATATAGCCTATACATAGATGTGTCATGTATGATAGTGACATATAGCATAGTGTTCTCAATTAAAAAAAAAATAGTGTTTACATAAGATCTGAATCATAGATTCTTTTGCTCCAAATTGTACATTAGAACCTAGCCCAACACTGAAAATTAGAATTGGGAAACTGAGGCCCAGCAAAATGAGGTGTCTTGCACCATCCACTGCTGTTAAATGAATTCCTGCACTCAGTAACCCTCCATCAGGTTTCGGAGGCTGTAAATCTTAACAGGAGGAGACTGCCTCCTTTTTATCCTGTGGAGTGGCTGGTGATATTTTGGTCAGCAGCTCATCATTTAACCAACTATGTCCAACAAAAACTCCCAGTCCTCTTGATATGCATTGGGAATAAGCTCTTTCTTATTATTGTAAGACTCAAACATCTGATCAGGACCCACCTTCAGGAGATGGTTTCTGACACAGGAAAGAAAACTAAACCCTAGACCAACCTTAAGATGAGTAACTCATTAGTGTGAGATATTTAGTTTATACATTAGTAGACAGCCTTACTAACCTAATAGCTATTATATGTATCTAACTTGGGAGTTCTGGTTCCCAGGTAAAGAGTTGCTTTGCCAGATCAAAGGCTCGGGTTCAAATCCACGAGCTGCTTTGCAGGAGAAAGATGGGCAGTCTCTTTTTATGTGAGTTAGAGCCTTTACAAACCCACTAGAAGGTCAGTGATAAGTCACTTCTAACCCAACCAGAACATAACAATTTCTAGATATAGAGATAGATACATAGATACAGATCTATAGATTATCTATCTATCTATCTATCTATCTATCTATCTATCTATCTATCTATCTATCTATCATCTTTCTATATATCTGGTCAATGTTCTTCCCGATACAGCAATAGTTGAGAATTCTCTGACTTGCAAGATGTGGTGGCTGGCACTGGTTGTTGAAGGGTCTTCCCATCTTTAAGCAGAGGAGAGAGAAGATGACTTCCAGTCATCATGTAACTTCTTGATTGCATGACAAAAGTTAATAAAATCATCCTACTCCTTTGCCAAGAAAGTTGTTAAATTCTAACCTCTGTAACTTTCCAAGAGTCTTTTTCTTTTTCTGATTTAGGGGAGCCTACCTTCCAAATGACCAAACAGATTATGGATACAATAAGCACAATCTCTCTGTTCACATCTAGGAGGGACCTGTAATCTCTCTCTCCCTAGAGGAAAAGTCTTTGCCCTTGGAGTTGGACATAGGGCAACATTACTTTGCAACTTACACAGCCCAGATGAGTGCAGGATAAGACCTTTTTTAAAAAATTGTAACTTTAATGAAAATTTACAGAAAAGTTGGATTTTCATTTATTCATTGTTTCACATTTTTCTCCCTACCCTAAGTTCATTTTTTAAGATAAAAAAAAATTATTCATTCATTGTTGCATTATTTCCTTCCTTTACCGTCCTCCCTTCCTGCAGTTCACTTTGCTGTGCACCTCTTATTCTGGACTGTTGTCATACAAATAATGCCTAATCATATATTCCTTTTAAACAGTTCTTTCCTTCATCTGTTCCAATGCAGCGTTATTTATCTCCTTCTTTCTTAGTTTCCCCTCCCATCTCCATGTCAATCTTGTTTTATAAGAGTGATGTTATACAGTATTTGTTCTTTTGTGACAGAGATATTTCACTCAGCATAATGTCCTCCAGGCTCACCCATATTGTGTAATATTTTATGAGCTCCTTTGTTTTTCAGTGCTACATGGTCTTCCATTGTGTGAATATACCGTAGTTTTCCTATCCATTCATATTTTGATGAATACTTGGGTTGCTTCCATCTCTTTGCCATTGTGAATAGCACAGCAGTAAACAGGGGTGTGATTATATCAGTTTGGGTGGCAGCTCTGGTTTCTTTTCCCAGTAGTGGAATACCTGGTTCAAATGGTATTTCTATTTCTAAATTTTGAGAAAATGCCATACCACCTTCCACAATGGTTGCACCATTTTACACTCCCACCAGCAGTGAATAAGGGTTCCAATCTCTCCCAAACCTCACCAGCATTTGTTGTTTACTGCCCTGTTGAATTTTGTTATTGTTACTGCGATGGGGTGGTATCTCATATTTGTTTTGATCTACATCTCTCTGACAGCTAGGGATTTTGAGTATTTCTTCATGTGTTTGTTTGCCATCTGAATGTCTTCTTTGGTGAGGTACAGGATAGGATCTTAACAATGCTGTTTCAGACCCAAAGCTGCTGAGCACCCTACAAAAGCAAACATATTACATTGTGAGACTCTGCTAGAAGTGCAGGTGGCTGGCTCTTTCCTTTAATGCAGTGTGAACTTAGTGACATAGGATAAGGGAACAGTGATTCTTATTGGACTGTGATTGGGATTGTTTGTCCTTATATTCAGCAAATATCACGTCTTTCATTCATAGGGTCACTATGAGTTGTACTCAACTTGATGGCACTTAACAATGACAACAGATGCTAAAGATAGAATGGCAAAGGATACAAACTTAAGTGAACATGCAGACAGAAGTGAACAAGATGTCATTTCAGGTAATGATAGATGGTGATCCCTGACAGGTGCAATTGGTTAATGTTCTCAACTGCTAACTTACAGGTTGGAGATTTAGTCGATCCAGAGGCTCCTGGTAAAGAAAGGCCTAGTGATCTACTTCTGAAGAATTAGCCACAGAAAATCCTGTGGAGCACATTTCCATGCTGACTGGTCCGCAGCTACCATAAATCAGAGCCAACTCAGAGGCACCTGGTTTAATGATGAATGGAGAAAAATGCAGCAGGGTAAGGAAACGGAAAACGGCAACTAGAGGTGCTGCTGCTAGGTAATGTTTAGATGAGGTTGTTAGGGGAGGCCTTTCTGAAGGAAATCTCGGGGGAGAGAGACTTTTAAATAAGAAGTCATGAACCTTGCAAAAATCTGGATAAAGAATTTTCCAGCCAAAACAAAGGCCCTGAGGCCAGAACAAATTTGAAGAGCAGGCTGAGTGAGGGCAACAGCACTGCTAACAGGGTAAAGAGAGGCGGTGGTGGTTGTTAGGTGCCGGTGAGTCGAGTCCAACTCATAGCGACCCTATGAACAACATACCTGACCCCTGTTCTATGGTGTGCTGTCCTCATCATCTCTGACACACTTGATCCCATTGTTACAGTCACAGTGTCAATCCCTCTCATTGAG